CGAACACTGGCGCCGTCGTTTTCGGGGTCTTCAGTGCCTTCTCTAGGTCGAGCACTAGCAGCACGGGAATCCTGTGCAACGGCGAGGATCTTCAGGATAGAATTCTTGGCCTTGGTAAGAGCGTTCCTGCTGGAAGCTTCGCCGGCAAGACCCTCGTCAATGGTCTGATCCAATAGCTCCTTGACCTGAAGAGCAAGCTCATTATTCTCGGGGGCAATTTCAAGACCAGTAGCGCTGCGGATACTAGTTCGGAATTGGTCATCGCCCTCAGGGGCGCGAGAGCCTGCCCGGGAGGGGACTGTAGGCGCAGCAAAGTAAAGCTTGCTGAGGAGGGAGAAGAGAAGCTTGCGTTCCTCGCGGGAGCAGCGGTTAGTCCCAGCACTGACACCAAGGACTCGTTCGAGGATATCCTTGACCAGGGCCAGGTGTACCCATCCACACACGTTGGAGCTCGCAGTACCGCCAGCAAGGATTCTTTCGCCACCGAGACCGACGACACGACGCTCATCGGTCCATTCAGACAGCATTCCAATGACGCCAGTCATGAGCGCTTTGACTTCACGCTCACCAATACTTGCATCAATCTCACCGTCACTGTCCTCCTCGGCCTCAAGCGAGTAGTGCTCCTCAGCAGCGTTCATGACAGCACGGACCACCGGTACAGCAACCCGGCGCATGTGCTGTGTGTTTTCCACACGAGAGTGACAGTAGACAGGGAAGAAGTAGGCCAAGGACTGGCGAAGTGCTGGGTTTTCGCGAGTACGTGGGTGGAAGAAGGAAACCACCAATGACAGCAACAGCGTCTCCACAGCATTTTGATTGTGCTCCTGGATTGCTGATGGGATATTCGGTCCCGATGGTGTGAAAGCATTGGTGAGTAGTAGCTTTGAAAGAGCCGATGCGGCTGCCGACTGCACACTGTTGGGAGAGTTGGCACGTAGAGCTCGGGCGAAGACCTTCAGCAAAGGCTTCTGCATAGGGGGTGGTGTCACTGTCTCGCCGTCGGGCTGGGTGATGGGAGCCAGTAGTGAAGGATGTGTCGTAATCATATCGCAGAGAATTTGCAAAGCGGTGACCTGCAATGCCTCGTGGCCCTTGCTATAGCAATGAATGAAGAGAGTCATGTTCTCTTCGGCCAAGTTCTAAATGGAAATATCCGATGTTAGCGCAAGTCTCCTTTCACCGTAATAAATAGAGGAAACCGACCTTGTCAAGCAGGCAGCAAAGTCCCAAGCACAACAAACCGCGCTCACGGATAGGAGCTTCATGGCTTCGAACAGCAGGTACAACAAGGTTGTTCAGCATGGTAACCAAGTTCATGCTCTGTTGGAGATTGCCTTGAACATTCTGCAGCATACATTGAGCAATGTACAGACACTTCATGTTAACCACGATCTCGCGAACGATCTTCGCCTTGGCTTCCTCCTTATTGAAAGGTCTTGGTTCCTCTTCTCCCGGAGCCTCGGAGTTCTGACGGCTGCTAGCATCGTCGCTGATCTCAGACCGGGCAGACACAAAGCTGTCCTCAGTGGTGATAGTATCATGGACTTCAGCAATGGCCTCCAAAACGACGCTGCAGAACTCCGCCTCACCAGCAGCATCAGGTCCGCAGACACATCGAAGAGTTTCAACAACGAGCTTGGTGCTCTCCTCCGGAAGTTCTGGCACAGCCAAAGTTTCCCGCAGTAGGGAGAACATCTTTCGTCGACCAACCTCGTCGCTGTAATCTAAGGTGATGGCAATGTGCAGCAATTGCTCCACAACAAACTCGTGCTCAACTGCATCCTCATCATTCGCCTCGCCACTATCCTTGGAAACCTTCTTGCGCTCCAGAAGATTTGTGATGTACTTGCCCAGGAAATAGGCCATAGCGGTGACCTCAGGCATTTTGTCATCTGCGAGACTCTCATACTTGCCTTCATTCTCCACACGGCAGAAGTCATTGAACGACCGAAGCAAGAATGCCGATTCGCCGTTCAGGTTCTCCCAGAAAGGCTCGTCAAAGACAACGGCCTCACGGTAGTCCGCGCGACCTTCCCAGAAGCTTCGCATTGCTTCGTGAGCAATTCCACTTTCCATTCCAGAGTTGATGACATCGATTCTCTCCAACAGCTCGAGGAGCGCGTTGATATTAGGCTCAGACCGCTGGCCAGTTGGTCCCTCATTCGGGTCATTGTTGGTACCAGCGCAATCCTCGACCCATCGATCGTAGAACAATTTCCCGGTCGCCTTGCGAACGCTTTCATCACGGTCACGCAGTCCCCAGCGAAGAAGCTTCTCTCGCATAGATAGGGACAGGTGGCGGAAGTCGCCCAGAGTGGGGAGAAGGCGGGAGTAGAGTGCGCGCCTAGTAGGAGCATCGAGATCACGGGCGCGTTCGAGGAGGTAGGGAAGTGTAACGGGTGCGAGGGGAAGGTTGGTGAGCAGGGTCTTCCGAACATCCGCGCTAGTGTCGTTTTGCATGGTTTCAATCAGCTTTTCAAGGAGCGCGGTGGAGTTGTCATCGTTTCCATCGTCCTCTCCATCATCTCCTGCCAGGCGGCCCAATCCAAGAACTGCCTGCACACGGACGGATGCCTCCTTATCGCGAATGCGCCTCAATAGGCCCTGCCGGATGGTATGATATAGCTCGTCATCAATGGACTCGAGCGAATTGACAATGTGAGCGAGAATCTGGGTACCGCGGAATCGGACCATCTTGTCTTTGGCACCTAGGATGGGTACCATCAATGCAACGAGGCTGGAAGTTAAGCGGGCAGTTGGGGTTTCGGGGTTCTGTTCCTCGTCGTCGACAGAGGCGAACATCTCAGTATCTTTCTCCGAGGCATGGCCTAGGAAGGTTCCCAGGAAGCGCAGGATGCGGTCACCAACAGGCTCGGTCTTCTTGATGGTGAGAATACGGAGCATGCAGCGGCCCACTTCCACATTGAATTCTTTCTCGGCGGGTGTTTCCTCGCCAGGAATCAGCGCTTCCTCGAGTTCCTGGTCTTTGTCCTTCTTGCCATTCTTCTTCTGGGCAATACCGCAGCAGATTTCTTGCAGCTTGCGCAAACGAACAACGAGCTTGCGGTGACCGGTTGTGGAGCGCTGAGCGTCCGCGAAAATCAAGCACACATCGCGACGTAGAGTGGGGGTTGATGGCTCTGCGGGTTCTTCGGGGATCGCAAATGATGGAGTTACGGAGCCAGCGCGCCCAGATGCAGAGGGCTGCGCAGACGACCGTCGTGTCGTCGCAGATGTCGAACGGGCGGCGACTCTCCCAGGCATGGTGTATGGGTTGAGGGATAACTAGAGGACAAAAAGCATCGCGGGACCAAAGGAGAGAGCGGGCTTGGCGGTAAACAAACAGCCCAAAATGGGCGATAACGATAAGCAGCACGTGACGCCGAGCATCGGAGCTCGTCATTCCCCGAGATCAGAAGTTCAGAAACACTGTTCCTACATTCACCACAGGATGTTTCGTCAAAGTGTGAGGCGATTCGCCACTACAGCAGTGCGCGCTGCTACAGAGGGGTCCACTGCCTACTGTACTAGGGTGTCAACTGCCCAGGGCGTTGTCAATGGATTGACCGAGGGTATGTATAGGTCATGAGATGTCTAAGACTGGCGCTGACTTGCATAGCAATTGGCAACACCCCCCTTATCCGCTTGAAGAAGCTCTCTGAGCAGACCGGTTGCAATGTTCTTGGAAAGGCCGAATTCCAGAACCCCGGCGGTAGCGTGAAGGACCGAGCTGCACTCTTCGTCGTCAAGGATGCGGAGGAAAAAGGTCTACTCCAACCAGGCGGTACAGTGGTCGAGGGAACAGCCGGTAACACCGGAATTGGTCTCGCACACGTTTGTCGGTCTAAGGGCTATAAGCTCGTGATCTACATGCCCAACACCCAGTCACAGGGCAAGATTGACCTGCTGCGCTTGTTGGGTGCAGAGGTGTATCCAGTCCCTGCAGTGGCCTTTGACAACCCCCAGAACTACAACCATCAGGCCCGCCGACACGCTGAATCATTGGATAACGCAGTCTGGACCAACCAGTTCGACAACACTGCCAACCGCCAAGCCCACATCGCAACCACCGGTCCCGAAATCTGGGCGCAGACCGCCGGCAAGATCGACGCCTTCACTTGTGCTACTGGAACTGGCGGCACTCTTGCAGGTATCACGCGCTATTTGAAGGAAGTCAGTGACGGCCGGGTTAAGAGTTTCCTGGCAGACCCCCCTGGCAGTGTCCTGCACAGCTATATCCAGAGCGGCGGCACCCTTATCGACCGCTCTGGTAGCAGTATCACCGAGGGTATTGGCCAGGGCCGTGTCACCGACAACCTCCAGCCCGATATCGGTCTGCTTGATGGCTCGGTAAACATCAGTGACGAGAAGACCATCGAGATGGTCTACCGCTGCCTTGATGAAGAGGGCTTGTACCTCGGTGCCAGTTCTGCTATGAATGTTGTAGCTGCCAAGGAGGTGGCCGAGAAGATGGGCAAGGGCAACACCGTTGTGACCATTCTCTGTGACGGTGCCTACCGGTACGCCGACCGCCTGTTCTCTAACACCTGGCTCGAGAGCAAGAACCTTCGTGGTTCCATTCCTAAGCACTTGGAGAAGTACATTGTGTTGCCTTAGATTGTGTATAGCTTAAATAAAATGTATCCTTTCACTATATTCAGCATGAGTTGTAAATCAATAAGTCACCATAACTTTAAGAGCCAATTCAAGCAAAGCATAAGCGAAAATTTGGCCCTAGCCCTCTTGTAATGGTGATGCAAGCATCACGTTCCATACCTGCTGTAAGGGTGCAGTACATGAGCGGCCGCTTGTTGCACACTGAGCAGATCTGAAAACGCCCCTGAGCGCTCATTGAGCATTACACAAGCACACTGATCTGCTCACTGAGCATGCTCTGAGCGCCCTGATTCGCTCGCTGAGTCTGAGCAATATACCACCCCTATGTAAGATACATCACAATATGCCCAGTGTAATTCGTCCTCTATTACTTAGAGCTATCAACGATATGGTGCGACGGTCTCGATATGGTCCACAGACCGTTTGGCTTTATCGTCAAGGCCTTTAGACACCATATCGGTGGCATGAAATACCCGACTCGGTATGAATTTGCCACGGACCGTATCCCTTTCGAAAAGCTCATCCATGAATTCAAGCGACAGACCTATGGCTTTATATTAGCCAACATGCTGCGGTTCTTTATCGGTATATATAGATCAAACCTTTAGTCTCAGGCACGAAGAACCATGTGTAGATAACCATGGTAAAGCAGAAGCACCCATAAACAAAGAATGTACCATACCCATTCGAGCCAAGGGTTGCTAGCATGCTTGGTGTAGCTTTGGCTACAACAAAATTGAACAGCCACTGGGATGCTGTTGCCATACCCATATTGAGCGGTCGAAGACGAGCCGAAGGAATCTCCTATGAGAGACAGCTGTCATTAGGTCATGTTGAAAAGGGGTTTGCACACGGATAGAAGGGCTTAGTTACCGCGCAATAGGACCAGACAACAGGGCCCCAGCCAAATTGGTAAACGCCTGCAAAAATATAGATTGCAACTAGTGCAATGTATGCCGATGCCGTGAGGGACTGACCCTCAGTCGGAGGATTAAATCGAATATAGAAACCGACATAAAACAGGGTAGTTCCCTTGTCACATGTTAGTCAAAAAGATTAAATCCATTCGAAAGTGCTTTATACCTGCGCAATTCCAGTCCACAGCAAAGACCGCCGTCGGCCCAAGGAATCAACAACGAATATGATAAACACAGTGCAGCAAATGACCTTCACAATGCCGTAGATCCCAGTTGCAAACAGCCCAACGGACGCCCCTGACAGGCCAATGCTTGCGAAGATACTTGGCGAATAGTATGTCATAGAATTAGTACCTGTAAGGTTACTCCACATCATCAAAGTAATACACAGAATAGACCGTCGACGATAGGACTTGATGCAAAATGCTTCTTTCAGGATTGTGAAGCGTGAAGAGGTCGCAAAAATCTCTCTCTCCTCCTCGAGCTGGAACGTTATGTTGGCCATCTCCTCCACAACATACTCGTGTGTAACCGGCAAGCCACGAAGTTTGGCCAAGACCTGCAGGGCAGCAGCAGGATCCTGTTGGGCGAGATATCGAGGGGACTCATCTGCCAGTAACATTCCAACAAACAATATGACTCCTGGTACAGCCTGCAAAGCTAGAGGGATGATGAACTGCTTTTTCCCAGTCAATCGTCGTTCACTGGCGTAGTTAACCCAGAATGCAATCTGTGTGTTATTTTTAGCTCCATAGAAAATGGAAGGATACAGGTGGGCTCACTGTTAGACCGGAAACAAGGGTGAGTTGATATAGCCCAGTGAGCAGACCACGAATGCCCCTTGGTGCGTTTTCTGAGATATAAAGTGGGCACACAGTACTTGCAATCCCAATAGAGATACCAGCAACAAGCCTAGTAGTGGTCGTCAACACAAGTCTCAAATTTGGTATCGTGGTCCTTACCTCCCAACATACAAAGCCTCAATATAGCCAGAGGCGCCAGCTTGAAGAGCAACACCAATAATGACGACTACGGAAGAGAAGATGAGGGACCATCTTCGGCCGATGCGGTTCGCGAGCCACATGGCGATAAGAGCGCCAGCAAAGGCGCCAGCCTGGATCACCGAAACAATATTCGAGGATAAATTTGCCAAAACAGAAGGGTTTCTATCAGTTAGACCATATTCCCTATTACTGTAAGCAATCATACCGAATCTGCGAATGGGTATATTACACTTGAAATGTCTTCATGGTCAATATACCCCCAATGACTCCCATATCGAACCCAAATAGTAAAGACGCGCCACAAGCCTGAATGCATGAGCTTTGGTCTAAGGTGGAGGATCACCATTACGAATATATAGGTAACCTACCACCAAACTGATCATGACCACCCGGGCATTGTATATTTCCGGCGGGTCTGACCGAATCGCTTCATTCTTCCAAATCTTTCGAAGCAGTTGCATAATGAGTTGTAGCGAGTTTGAAGACTAGAAAGATGGAAAATGGGTTCATCTAGAGACCGAAGGACTGATTTTATGTTAACCAGTAACACTGTGTTCGAGCGTGGCCCCTCTTCTCTTCGGCAATAGATGGTCTTCCGAGTTGTCTGTCTTTCCCCAGGTTACCCCAGTTTCTCCAGTTTCCACGGGCGCCGAGACTTGACTATTGATGGAAACCCGACGATGAATAAGGCGGGGTATAGCCTATTTATGGTTGTTCGGGGAAGCAAAGCCTTCCATCCCCAAAGTGCCGCCATCACAATCTATTGAAGTCTGTCGGAGAAAAAGAATCAAGGAAGTTAGGAAATACAAGACTTCAGGTATTTTTTTTTTTTTTAAAAAAAAAAAAATATTCTACCGGAGCTGTAACGCAAGAGACATACAATGCCAGTGAGATCTCAAGATTAAGCAAAAAAGTGGATTGGAATTCAGGAGAGTGAGAAATCACATAAACTACAAAGAGCAACGTATATCTTCTTCATAAGCCATCCAGAGGTCGATAAGTCTTCATCCACCTCTGCATTTCATTAGACAACACGCACAGATATCAAAACTAGACCAACTTACCTTATCATATGGCTTGTCCGAGTCAACAAACCGCAGATCAGTAGCAAGCCTGATTCTATTATCCGGATCCATATTCTTGCAACTGGCATGGACCATAAATGGGTTATGAAAGATGACATCTCCTGCCTCGTACTCGGTGATCAGCCACTTCCGCTGAGATTCCTTCCCGTATTTGACTGTATCACGGCTGAGAAATCCACCATCGTTCATGTTCTTATTGAAAGCAGAAACCCGCTCCTCATCTGTCAAGTTTGAGGCATTGCGTGCGAACTGCTCTTCGGTTCTCTGTCCGATATCAGAAGACCTATCGAGATACATGAGACCGCCACCTTCGAGTGAGATGTCACCAATGGGAACCCAAGCTGTCAGACTAGTTGGTGGTCCGGCTCGAAGATACATTTGATCAAAGTGGACGGGAGTCAGCTCGCTATCTGGCGTGAAGGCACGCAACATAGTCCGCTGTAACATTGTTTCCTTGGGCCAACCGGTGAATTTGCGTACAAATTCACGCAGCTCTGGAATGTTGCAGAGTTTCAGATAGAAATCTGATTCATGAGCGCTGATCATCAGTTCGACGTACTTGTCTGACTCCGCGTCTCCTTGAAGGCCAAACAAACGGCGAAGATTACCGGGTGGAAGGTATTTGCGGCTATCAGCACCGCAGTAGATCCCGTCGACTGGCTTTGTTCCAGGGTAGAGGAGGGCGGAAGGAGCCATATGCTGGAAATATGCCTCTCTGCATTCGAGAACTTCGTTCCTCGGAAGCAATCCCTTGACCTGTACATCTCTCAGCCCAGCAAACGAAGGACGAGAGGATCTCACTTACGAAGAGATAGCCATCACGGAGGAATCTTTCTTGCATGACTTCGATCGGCGTGTCCACGGTTGTTGGCTGCAAATATCCAATTTGTTCGGAAACCATTGGTCCGAAATTGGATTCCAGCTTCAAAGCATCTGGACTAAGTGGAAAATAATGTCCATATTGGTCTTCTTTCAAGGTGGTGTGGCTGCCTTTCGCAGCCAACCCTGAGGGTTGGGAAATAGCGCATATCGCAGGTGCCATCGTGAATAGAAAAAAGAGTTTAGACGTGTCAGGTAGATATCGTAGCGTGGCTTGTAAATTTATCTTATTTTCCTCGGTAAACATCCCATTAATATTTGTCGTTGGCCACTTTGAACCAGACAGGCTGATGACCTCCGCTCCGATCTATAGCCGGGCCATCTATAGCCGCAGGCTAAGCCGACGCCGAAGCTGACTCGAGTGGAGAACCCCGCACTCACTTGCAGTATCCTCCTCTCCGAGTTCCAAATTGGATGTCATGATTTCTGGAAGAATCAATTATGACCAAAAGCACCGGAGAAAGGCTATATCGGGCTTGCGCTCGTTGTCGGAAGAGGAAAACGAAATGTGATCTGTGGGAATGCCCCCACGCGCGGCCCACTTACTCGATTCTAATGTGTCCCCAGTCAAAGTATAGGAGATATCGGAAAGCCTCCTTGTTTGAAATGTCATCTCGATGGCCATGAGTGTTTGCTGGCTGGCTCGAGGCGCGGAGGTGATTTCACGCAATTCAGAACCCACAAAAAGACTCGAAACAACGGCAAAATTGAGAAATCCTACGCTAGTACCACTTCAGATACCCAGAAATTCTGCCCTGTCAATGATCATGTTGACTGTAGGCCTCAGAGATCACCATGCGCGGCTAGCGATGAGAGAACCTGTGGCGGAATCCAGAATCCCCTCGAAGCGCTCCAAATCCTTGCACAAGCAGCCTCCAACGAAAATTGCCCACGAGGACATACCGCAATATCCCAGATAGAACCAGCGAGATCTGAAAGTACCAGTGCCATACCCACGAATGGGGATGATCAAGCAGGACTGGAATCATATGGGCCTGTTGCAGACGGAATTCTAGACCCGCGACTGCTAGATCACCTCCTTCAAGAGTAAGCAGGGAAGCATTTGAACAAGTAAGCAGTGCTGACTCCTCATAGTTACGCGGAACGATATCACCCCTTTATGCCAATCGTCCCGGATCATATTCTCTTAGCGACGAGTGTCCACAAAACGGCTGTGGAAGAGCCATTTCTTCTGACAGCTGTCCTAACCATTTCAACAAAGGACAGACAAGATCTGGAGGATTTACACAGAGGTATATGGTCACATATGCAAGGTTTGATATTGAGCGTTGTATTGGGTACCTCTGGGACTCGCCATGTTGAAACCGTGGAAGGCCTGCTGCTCCTTGCAGAATGGGTTCCTCACATTAACACTCACCTCTCGAGCAAGACCCAATCGAGTGATGACAATGAAGATACCGCAGCATGGACTCTTGTTGGCTTAGCTGTGCGACAGGGGTACCTACTCCACCTCGATAACTACTCCTTCCGAAAGGAAGCTAAGGGAGACATAAAAGCCGTATCGGATCGGAAGAGATTGGCATGGACATGTGGGAACCCCAAGGCTCCTGAAATTTCTTAGTTATTAACCAGTAACTAGTTACTTATCTCTCAGATCGTCAAATATCCATCCGCATGGGCCAAGCCTTTTGGTGTCGCGGGCCGGGGCTCTCTACACGATTTACTGCGGATGACTATCCCACGCTGCAGCCAAAACATGCATATGAAGATGACTATGCAGCCATCTTGCAAGCACAAGTCGAGCTCACCACGCTGTTCGGAAATGTCCATGATATCCTGTACGCCTCGAAGAGCCGCACGGTCCAATTGATGCTCATGGGCGATTACACCAAATACTTGGATGATAGTGCCAAGGCACTGACAGCTTGGGAGGATATATGGAGCAGCCTGAATGTTGCCGCGTACTTAAAATGTCTTCTCAGTCTACAATACGAGTATCTGCGGTTATATGTGAACGCATTCGCTTTTCAGGCTGTTATCTGCAGAGCGACCGACAGACCATCAAATCCTCATCCTAGCCCAACAAAGACGCCATACTTTCCAAATGGTGTCATGGCTAGCGCCGATGGACGGCACATATACTTGGCCATTGACGCGGCGAGCAATCTTCTTAAAATCATCAATGAGCGTATGGACCCAGTTCGACATCTTCGCTACCTTCCCGTTCGTTTCTATTTGTGAGTGGTCCAAAAACAATGCTTCAATATGTCAGTTGCTGAGCCTTTTGAGAAAAGGTACGAGATTTACTCCGCCGTCTTTCTCTTCAAAGCGCATGCTTTTGGTGCAATCTCTAACGAATCTCATCGGCATTCTACAGCCCTTGTGCGAACCTTCATCTTCAGACTCAAGGCTGCAGCGACAGGCGAGCAACATATCGCATACCGATATAGCAAACTGTTATCAAGTCAATGGTTTAAAGATGCTTCTCCGATTCCACAAACGAATCTGGCGTCTCAAGGACCGGCAAATTCTCCCAAATCCATGTGTTCAGCCCCTCAAGGATTCCAGAGTCACACTACAGCCTGTACATCGATCTCACGCGAAACTGAAAATTCAATATTTGAAGAGTTTGGGCTAGACGCAAGTCTAGTTGAGACGGTACCAGACAACACGTTCAGCTTCAGTGACTCGGACTTATCCATACCCGCGCCAAATCCTCTTCAGAGTCTATCTTTTCCCGAAATTGACTTACCTGGCCTTAATGGTGCCGAATTGAGTTCTTTGGTTGCTCTTGACTCATGTTGGCCGTATTGAGACTGATCCTTCAAATGCTGATGGCAGCTAAGATAGGAAAGCCCCACCCGGCAGAGGAAATCAAGTACGTATAGCTGCCTAACTAGCAAACTAGTAGTTTGTGATCGTACGGGGTTTCGGGTAACTTATAGGCGGGTTTGTGGGTACCCGCCGGTCGAGGCGTGAAGCAATAGATAGCTCGAAAAGCAGCAGCGCGAACAAAAGTCGAAGTCTATGTCCCTATCGCACAATACATGTTGTTTCTCTTCATCGCTAGAGCAAATTGCGCTGATGGCTACTTCCACTTCTAGCCCGTCGCGGTCAATTGCCCAATCTTTCAGTCCACTGCTTTCGATTGAACTATCATCAGATGCGTCCCCCGATTGGACTTCAGTTGTCAGGCGTATTTCATTTCAGGGCGAGGTGCATGCTATCGTTGACAGAACGTTATGTGGCCATAAGTGTCCGCAGTGTCTATTTCTTGTGCAAATATGCCAAAGCTCCAATCCCGGATACTATACACATTATGGCTATCAGGTATCAGCAGTTAGAATGGTGAGCAGAATAGCTGTGGGTTTCAACATACCAAGGCTCGAATTCATCCAATAGTACCCTACCCTCCGGACCAGAAAGCCCGAGACTATAGGACCAATAAGCATTCCGGATGTCCAAGCTATATTGTTCAGGCTGTAAGCTGTCGATAGTCCTCCGCCTGGGCCAAAACGCCCCGGTTGTTCTGCCTCCAACTGTTTCATCACATCTTGTAACGTTAGAACGGCAATAGCAGAGGTATTTTGAACAGACTGGACTCACTAGTCAACTCAATGGTGCCACAGCCGCTAATCAAAGTACGTGCGGTGCCAACCCCCACAATTGCTGTCATAAAAATAGCCTGGCCCCTTCCTCCAACTCCTGCAAAAGGAAGACCGTCTTTCCCTGGGGTACCCATTAACCATATAAAAATTGAAATGGCGAAGAATCCTGCAGCTGTCGGGAATTTGGTTCCGAATTTATCTTTCAACATGCCACTGAATGGGGCTAGAAAGATAGCAGGCAACTGGAGAAGCAGAAACATCAAACTAACGCGAGCAGCATTCCAGCCAAATTCATTCTTGGAATGTAGAGGTAGAGTGGTGTCGAAGCTGACCATAATCACGGCCATTGCACTACGCCCGGCCAAACTGGCGAGGGCACAGGGGTTTGTCAACATCGCCTTGTATACGCTTTGATGTCCGGGGGGCTCAACGGCCATTTCCGGCTCTTGGGAAACTGAATTTGAATCCGGCTGTGATCCATAATTGGGTCGTTCGTTCTGCGAAGACCTGATGAGACTAGATGTTTCATCAGCGGTACTTTCACTGCTCGCTCTTGCATTTTCAGCCTCGCCTTCTACGGAATCATTGTTGTTGCATGGTCCCTCGGCGAGATTCGTCTGTTCCTCGTGTTTCTTTTCTATCATAACCAACCGCATCATCATATCAAAGCCAAGGACGAGAAGAGCGACGGACCAGGTGGCATAGTAGCCCACAGTCGATAGTAGTAAGCCAGATATAACTGGGCCTAAGATCATCCCACTAGCATAGAATGAAGATATTGTTGTCATTACTGCCCCAGTATGATTAGGCCCAACTGTTTCAGCCTAGCTTCGAGTCAGCATGGGCTTCCAAGGTTGTCCTCTGGAGCTGGGCATAGGTCAAATTACTCACTACAGTTGCGAGCCCGACGAGCCAAATACAATTCCCTCCCAGACCTTCGATAATTCGTCCCAGAACAAGGACGGGGACTTCCAAGATAGAGGAACAATCAGCGTGGTTTTCCCGTGAAAGAAGAAGACTAGCATACCCGTTCGCGCTACCATAATGATAACAGTCCCAATCATTTCAACTCCCAAGGAAGCAATCAAAGAGAACCGTCGACTTGGGGCCCTATCCGCGAGGTAGCCTGTGAGGGGTCCCGCAATCAAGCAAGCTAACGCATGGGCTGAAAGTACAAGCGAGGTCGTCGCTTGCGTTTGAGATTTTGGAACGTGAAGGCGGGTCTCGAGCATATCTGGAAGGATTGGAACAATGTAGCTGTATAGGAAGTTCCCTGATAACCCCTGTTAAAATGTGCGGTTATTCAAAGGGAAGTTCTACCAACCTGAAAAGAGAGCCAGGGCCATGCAAGACAGGATGAACCCGCTTGAAGAGCGCCACCTGTAGCCTAGAGGAGGCTTTCCGTTGGCAGACATGCTGGTGATTTGTGGTGAGCGCCGGGGACAAAGCAGCCTAGAGAATTGCTTTTTGGAGAGCTATCTATGAGATGCGCAGACTGGCTACTATTAGATGATTGCATAGATGATGACATCATTGGCGAGACACTCAACTTGCTGGTATGCGGGGAACTGATGACTGTCGTTTACGACACATTGCACGTAATTGAACCATTTCCCATTTCGCAGTTCGCAATCTGGTCATTATATCGATCGTATCGAGAATTTGGTTGCAAACTCCGGGCGTTTTTAATAAAATGCGTAACCAAATTCTCGCCGACTATTTCAAATGGGGCGGTCCCACGATTTGCGAGTAAAATGATCCGCGATCTCTCGTACAGTAGCTGGTCGGGAGGATGATGAGAATCAAGCATGTGTATTCACGACACACGTGGAGCATCCGAGTGCCATCAAAGACAAGATCAAAAATGACAAGTGTTGGGGTTCATGGACCCTAGAAGCTTAGCACCGGAGTATCTCTTGAAAATCCGGAGGAATATCAATTGTATCGGGGGATCCTCCGGTCCCGTACGTCCCCAACTCTTTCTTCAACCTTCAAGTTCCGAGCCCTACAGAGTATCGGTGTTTCTTGGACCCGGTTTTCTGCCTCCAGCAATATTCTTGGATCATCTTCGCGGTAAAAATATTCCTCTAGTTGACCCGGGACGTATTTGGTGAGGCCGCGTTGAACCGCCTATTCTCTTACCCCCCCCCCCGGGTCCTCCCACCGCTTCGACTTCTTCCGAAGTTCGTATTCTTCCGTGTGTTTTCTGCTTCTGCCTCTGGACGCTGAACGCCGAAAGGCGAACGTACACCCACGGTTGCCAGACTTGCCGATCATGGTCTCGACCCCGACATTCGGTGCAGCCTCGCCATGGTCTCTGCCAGAAGTCGCGTCTCCACAACGTGTCAGGGATGGCGAAAGGCAGGCAAGCTCGAGAGTCTGTGACAACTGCATTCGGTAAACAGTGTCCCCTGTCAAATTGCTACCTTTGCTAACATCAACCCCAGGAAGAAAATAAAGTGTTCGTCAACAATATTCCCTTTGCCTTAAGACGGGTATTCGTATATCGACCAGCAACGCTGACTGGATACTCACCTATAGGTGACTTGAAACGACCTTCATGCTCTCGCTGTTTGGAGCGTGGATATACTTGCACATATTCGTCGACTCGGCGCAAACCTGGCCCGGCCCGTGGTGCCTTTCAGGGCTCCCGCCGTGGCTTATTCCCTTCAAGGTCTTCACGCAGATCTTTTGGTAAGAATTCTCTCTTGGTATCTACATTGGCATCATCATATTCTACGCCCCTCTCTATTGTTTTCGTAAGCAAGTCCAATTTTCTGTGCTAATCAATCATCCATTCCGCGGTGAAGGCCGCCAACTCCGCTCTACACGTGTAAATGACCCATCTTCATCACCACTCGTCTCCACATCTACAGTCGCTACCTCCCCAGGGGCTTGTAGTCTGGAAGCGATCGACACGCTCCAAGATCGAAGGACAAGCACCGAGCCTTTCAGACAAACCGACTTTCAAGTTAAGGAAGGAGAAGAAGAACATCTGTACGTCCTCACGGTCATGTGCTACTTTGACATTGTGCTAAGGCAAATGACATGGTCCTTCTAGCCTGATAAAGTACCTGGATATGATTCACGATGCTATCCCCATCTTCTCTAGGCAGCGGTTCTTGCCTAGTGTTAGGTCCTCTCTGTACAGCCGCGATCTCATCTCGACCTTGGTCCTAATCACAGCGAAGCTAACAGGCTTCACCTTTTCCTCTGACGACATTGATATCGACGCCTGCATTGACTTGATGCTCAGTTCAGGGTCTCTGCAGGAGGACATGTTTGGCGATGTTCCATCACTTGATCAATTTCGCAAGGCGTGCCTGTTGGCTTTCTATGAGTTTCATCAGTTCCCCGGTCGCCAGGCTTGGATGCGGATTAGTAAAGTCATCAGAATGGCCTATTGGACTGGACTAGATCATCTTGAGAACCTCCGGCCTTCTCTCCCCTACTGGTGTGAAATGAGCCAACATGAACTTGAGGATTGGCGTTTGGTTTGGTGGTGCGTCTACCGCCTCGACTCTTATGCCAACCTCTCGGTGGGAACACCATATCTGATTGACGAGACACTTGTGAATACCGCCCTTATACGAGATCAGCCCTTGGATAGTCTTGAAGGAAGCCAGCCAGGCCGTCAGGGACAACTATACTTACCGTCTCAGCCGGATCGCCTATGGGAGTTGCTTTCGGCTATGGCATCGGATTCACAGCAAACGTCTTTGTTCAATATACACATAATTACCACGACTGCTACGCGCCAAGTCGGACGCGTTGCCCGATTGAATATGCCGTGGCGGCAAGGGGAAACTAATGCTTATCTCACCGATCTCGAACGGCGCCTTTCTGCGCTGCGTCTTGCTCTCTCAATAAACTATCTCAACCCTATGCGCAATGCGTTCACAAACGAAAGTGGCTCCGAACACCATGCAAGACTGGTTAATCTCTTCCATTTATCCATGGCGCGACTTCTCATCTCGCTTATGCGCTGCGCTAGCAGAGAAGAAGGGAACGAATGGCTATTAAGCTGGCAACAGGTCCTTGAAACGTGCCGAGACATCACTTCTCTGTCGGAACAATGGAACGGTGCATTCTCCTTAAGCGTTGATCCAGCAATCTCCTTTATACTTTTTACAGCACTGATTTTTTTAAACCTTCACAAGAGGTTCGCGGCACTGGCTGCATCCGCCATTTGCACCCACATCGAGCATCGCGAGAACGTCCTTCTGCTGCAGCTCGAGCAGTTTGCAATCGCCTGGACACTCCCTAGGCTTCTCATCCGTGAGTTCATAACGATTTTGCTTTTATGAAGACGCAAAAAGCTAAAGTAACAGTACAAGTATCATTCAAAAGCTTTACAGAGTTGATGATTGGTCCACTCTCTTACCACCATATCCAATTCATACTCTCCCGTTTTGAAGCACCCCTGCACCCAAGGTGGTTGCATTTCCTCTCCTCTGCTCAAGCAGAGCTTGAGGGAGTGGGATTGGCCAGCGAATAATACAGGTCTCCATAGTTTGGATCACTTCTCCCAAAGGCCTGGCGCTTCAGACTGCACCTGTGCAATCATTAATGTGTCTCCTTGTATGACCGCTTGGATTATTGACAATCTCGTGGCTCCACTAGGCTCATCAGAAGGAAGGCTTCACCATATACTGACAAACCCATCAAAATCTATGAAACCCCTGCCGGCTATAACCTGGTTTACTCCGTCGAATAAAAGTCCTAGATAAGCTCACCAATCTAATGAGTGCGAGGTCATCAGCAAGAAGGCCGAGCGGAACCAGAAAGGATTTGCAGGTTTCTTTTGGGATGATTTGTCTCCCACTGTTACCAGTGCAAGCGCCACCGACTCCTTTGTTGAAACCGCGAACCCTATGGCCTTCGCGGGTTAGACTGCTGACTGACAAATGCACTCACTAGTAGAAATGATAAAGGACGGAGCGGACTGGTTCGGACAAGGGGTATTCTGAATGGAATGCTGGTAATTTTGACTGGAGGGCCAGTTCAACACTGCCGCAGAGAGAGAGAGAGCATGCTTAGCTGATGGTATACACTATACCGTAGGGCTACAGGGTAAAGAAAAAATGTAAGAAAGGAAGGAGTCCTTACAAATGATTGCACGGTCTGAAGTGCGCTCATAGGCATTGTTGAATTGGATATCCCTACCACTGCAGGCTGAGTCACAGGCTACTGTACTAAATCAGTCACACCATAGACATGGTGTATTGTTAGATGCAACCTTCCGTTCAACTTGCTAGCTTTTCCTACTTGTTTCCACTGTTCGACTTCTAGACAAACAGCTGTCCCGCAATATCGACCCCCTTTTATGTCCTCTGCTTCTACGGGGGCTGGTAAGGGGCAAGTGAGAACTCGTACATTGCCATACAGGACCTATCTAGTTTAGATTACTAACAACATAACAAACAGCATCATGCGAACAACATCCGCTACGCTAAGGGGGATTATTGTAAAGAGCAAGTTGTTGGCCTTGAACTAGTAGGGGTGAGCCACCTCGCCTGGTTGAACCGGTGAGGCTGAGTCGCATCTGATCACCTCGAGCGTAGCGGGTCATTTAATGACCCAATTGGTGGAATGCTCAGGATGTTCCGAGGTTCTCATGCATGTTTGTCCTTGAAGGAAGTTGTATTACGTGGAGAGTCGCGTCTTCGGCTGTCAATGGTAGATCCTCCGCGGAACAACTACGTCGTGTCCCATAATAGTATTAGATCACCCGAACCCCCGGACGTAGTTCGCTACTACCGTATTTCTACACTACACTGAAGCTTGTGCTTATTATGCAAGCCGCTCCGAGTCCCCTTTTTTCTTTGAAAAGAGATTGACTGTCCTCTGCTCAAACACCCATTTTATCCTCCGCTTTTGCAGTCGCCTAGAGAAAAAGTTAATATGGTGGCGATCAAGAACTTGATCGCTTTTGAAGATGAAAGTGGTAACAGGTTATTTTCAAATGTGGACTCGTTGGAATCCACTGAAGGAGCTTCAATTGAAGCATACAGGTCATTTGACGACTTGACGAAAGGTGAGAACGCGACAAACGCAACTATCGCAAAGGTTCGTGACATGATGGTTTCATCAAATGGATACTGCTGATGGCTGTCTTACAACTAGCTGTTGCCTCCTCTCCCCAACCCCAATCTCCCGATTTACTGTGTGGGACTGAATTACAAAAGCCATGCGAAAGAGGCCAAAGTAAGACCTCCGTCTTCTATTTGTTCAGTAGTGTAATTGCTAATTGTAGGAAGCTAAACGTCCCTGCGAACCCTCCTCTATGGACGAAGCCTAATTCCGCATTGGCAAGCCCTGACTCTACCATCCCGATGAGTCGATTCTGTGCCTCGCATCTCCCCGATTGGGAGGTATGCTCCTATTTATCAATAGCACTAGCGCACGAGACAGTATGCTGACACGTTTTAGGGTGAACTGGTCTTTGTCACTTCCTGCGAGGTCCGCGATGTTACCCCCGAAAAAGCCGTGTCCTGCATCCTTGGATACACGATCGGAAATGATATCTCCTGTCGATTTTTTCAACTTCCCGAGCAGTCCGGAGGACAGTTCTTCTATGCCAAGGCCTTTGATAAATTTGCCCCCATCGGACCGGTGCTTGTGAGTCCGGAAAGCTTCAACAAGACGAAGAAGGGCGCTCGCCTGACCACTCGGGTCAACGGGGAAACCAAGCAGAATACTGTCATTGAAGATGACATGATTTTCGACCCCGCAAGAGTCCTCAGCTGGATGAGTCAGAGTATGTCGGCATTTCAAGAGTACAGTTTTTTTCGGGTATGATTTGACAAGGCACTAGGCACGACAATCCCTGCATACACGGCTGTGATGACTGGAACGCCAGCTGGAGTGGGTGCATTCCATAGCCCACGACAGTTCCTAAAGAATGGAGATTTGATTGAAGTTGAGATTAGCGGGATTGGCACACTGAAGAACGAGGTCTTGTTTGAGGATGGGCAAGACTCTATAATGTGAGAATCCCATTGCTCTCTATTAACTAGATGTATGAAATGAGGTTTGCTATTTCTATTGAATGAGAATACGTTACTGATTTTTGAACTTTTGATTACTTCCTATAGAACTCTTGTATGGGAACTAATCAAGGCGAAACTCTGGTACAAGTTCTCTCCTTGGCTGTTTAGGGCGGGTTGATGATGTTCCGTCGGATGAGTCCAAGAATCGCCCTATCGAATAAATGGAAAAGAATAAGTGGAGAAAACGAGAGCTGCTTGAAGAGTAGAAAGTTCTTTCCAAACAATTTGTTATGGTATACAGCATTCAACCAAAGTTGACCTCAAGTTTCTTGAGACAGTCCTCCAAATCAGACAGAGATCTAGCCTTTGCATAAGTAATGCCGTCCGGTCGTAAAATAAATACTTTGCCTGAGCGTCGTCCAACCGTTGTCGGAATTGTTGAACGTCGTATCCGACGCGAACGGGGTATCCGTTCAGCAGATGCATGGGTGCAGGGAAGGACACAGCCTTTCCATCTGTGCGGCGCTGCGTATTGAATTCGCCAAAATTAAAGTGAACGATTGACTCAGCAGATAAGATATCTGAGTGAATCTGGTACTTGCGAAAGATTTTCCTCAGGTCCGCATCGTCCAGTTGACTTGAGGAATTGATCACCAGTAAACTCATGATAGTGGGAACGCGACGAAGAGCCTTATCAGAGAGCTCAATAGTGACATGTTCACTACCGGGGAGGTAGGTCTGGACGAAAATTTGACCCAGCTTTGTGCCACCCCCAGCAGCAGATAAAAATGTCCCGCCTTGACAGCTAGAGTAGCCGCGAGCATCTGCAACGTCATGGGGCAGCTTTACCTTAAATGGCGTTAGGATGTTCAGAGCCAATTTGAAGATTGCGATCCGGAAAGTTCCTAGCCAAGTGGCTTCTTTGTTGCACCATTCTCCATTTTGGAGTGTTAGACGAGCCGAGTTGTCGATACTAACTCGTCGCTCTAATGACCAGGACAGGAGGAGGCTGTCTCTGAAAGAGGACGAAGTCTGGCGCGAGTGCTCTATTTTGGTAATCACGGCTAACCTCCAGGCCAGAGCCTCGGCGTCTTGAACTCCAGCGGCCACGCCTTGGCCTCCAAATGGTGGGAAAACATGTGCTGCATCTCCGATCAGCGCGGTACGTCCGGCAAACCACATGTTGACGACTCTATGAGAGAAGCGGAATGGGCGACAGCGAAGAATCTCGATGCAATCAATCGGGAAGGTAATTGGCGTTGTCGTCCCTTCAGGCAATGTAATTGGCCGAGTGATCATGGGAATAAGCTGCTCCCAGAACATCTTGACTGCGTCCATAGATTCTTCCCATTCCGGGACGGCAAATTCATGTCTCCAGAGGTGGTCAGCTTGTGGTCCGAAACGACCACAGGCGGTTGGCTTTCCCGGTGGCCGACAGAAATGCCACTCTTGAGGCCAAAATAAGTCATAAACCGCATTAGAGTCGTAGCCAAGATCCCACAGCGCAAAATTGGGATGTGTTGCCTCAGTTGGCGGGTTGATGCGTAGATTGGCCGCGATCCAAGTGCTGTCATACTCGAAGATGCCAGCCTCTTGTTTTACACCTGCGGTGGGCTCCAGAAAATGCTTGCGGACAATCCCCGTCTTCCCGTCGGCGCCAACTAGCCATGATGCTCGTATTTGACAGTCATTCCCGTCGGCATTTTTATAGTGGACTGAGACTCCGTCTGCATCTTCGTCCCGGTCCACAACCTCGCATGAAGATTGAAGAGTGCAGTACTCGGAAGACATGACCATCTCACGCAATACGTATTCTATCAAAATAGTCAGTTGATGTTCAGGTTTACATGCACATGAATGCTGGGACAACTAACCCAAGCGAGGTTGGCTCTGTAGGATGGTACTAGGGAGCGCATGCTGCATCATATCTTCGTCCAAATTGAGTGTCAGGAAGGGCCGGTTTTGGATGTTTGTTTGGTGAAAGTGGATGGCACGAAGCTCTGTATTCAGTGGCCCTAGTCAGGCTAGCCTATCGCGGAAATGACGGTGTATCTATTTACCATGACCAATTGAGGCAACGCGCTTCCCGATGCCCAGTTTCCACAGACTGCGCAGTGCATCACCAGTCAAAACCACGCCCCTAGGATCCGTGACGATATCCTGCGCCTTCTCAAGCACTATCGACTTAATACCAACGAATTAGGCTATGTTTGCAGCGCGGACTGTCCAAAGGACCGTCCTTAAGATCGAAAAAGCTTACCTTGATTCCGTGGTCAGCCAGAAAAAGACCTAAGATGAGGCCTGACGGTCCCCCACCAACAATCAGAACTTCAGTAGCCATATTGGTGCTAAAATGCGGACAATGACCGGTTCATTTTGCATCATGCCTGCATTAGAGGCTATTTATGAAAGAACTCCGACTCAGGCAGCATGTGAGGGGCAATAGCAACATGTGACACCAAGAAAGCACCAAAGAAATTATCCGTGGGGACTTCAATAGTGTCCGACTACTTGGATATTATTCATTCCAATCGTACGGTGTGATTGTGCACGGCGAGGTTCTCCCGCGGAGGATCCGCAACGCGCAAACCGAATGCAGGGGTTGTGCCGAGGAGGATACAAACTTTATAAAGCGGCGAAACAATTATCAAAAGCAACCCAGGGATATTTATACTATTAGTATTACCGATACGATTCTCACTGAGCCCGAGGTTGTCCTTTTCTATCTTCATTTTCCTTGACCGAGACCCGTACTTGAAATTCCCCAATCTACGCAATATCCTAGTCTTCTTCTTTTGCAAGTCCACGTGAGAAATAGGCGATATGTCGCTCTGGATGATAGATGTTCTTGCCTTGCTACCTCAAACATGGCAAGACTGGATTATGCCCCCAAGCACCGTTCCAGTCGTCCAGAACAACCCCGCTAAGGTTCAATTAAGTCGTATCTCCCACGTCTATTTCGACCACGGCGATTTAGAGGCCTTTGATCGATTTGCCAAGGATTTTGGATTCGTCCAAGCAGAGCGCAAAGGAAACACGATTTATTACCGTGGCTATGGCAGGGACCCCTACGTTTATGTGGCATCCCAGAGTCCGACGCGACGATCGCGCTTCATGGGTACAGCCTTCGTGGCGAAAGACCAGGAGAACTTCGACAAGGCCCTGGCACTACCAGGCGCAGTAATCAAAGACCTGGAAGAGACTCCAGGATGCGGACGAATGATTACTTTCGCGAGACCCAACGACACTTTTTTCCACGTTATCTACGGCCAAACTGAGCGCGAGTTTGTTGAGATCCCAACAGCCACCCACGACTACCAAGGCCCCTTTAACACGCCATTGGAGAAGCATCGTAAGGGCCGTTTCCAACGGTACCACGACGGCCCCGCGCTGGTACACAAATTGGGCCATTTCGGATACGTGTGCAAGGAATTCGAACAGGAACTTGACTTCTACACCTCCAACTTCAACTTTGTGCACTCGGACATCCTGAATCTCCCGAAACTCCCGCATATTGATGTCATGACATTCATGCACTTGGATCTGGGCAAAGTTTTTACCGACCACCACAGCTTCTTCCTGCAGCGTGCGCCGCCGGGTACCAGCAAGACATATGTCCACCATACTTCGTTTGAAGTCAGTGACTTCGATACCCAGTTGATGGGTCACAAATACCTTGCAAACAAGGGGTGGAAGTCTGTATGGGGCGTGGGTCGTCATATTCTGGGAAGCCAGATTTTCGATTATTGGTATGATCCCAGCGGTTTTAAGATTGAGCACTATGCGGATGGAGATGTGGTCAATGAGGATAACCCGACCCGGAAGGAGCCAGTAGGGCCGGTATCTGTTTGGGGTCCTGAATTGCCGAAGGACTTTGGTGATAACAAGGCCAGGTGATCGGATACTAACTTATGGAAATTTGGACTTTTTGCACATTGTATTAAGTACGTATACCGTTCTTTACTATATATCAGCCTCCTAATCCTGCATCGTGCAGCCTAGCACTCTGTGTTCTCGTGTCTTTCAACTTGTATTTATTCGTCTGTTGCGATTTCTATGATATGAACACATGCCATTCTCGCGTTTCAATTACTATGTCTGTCTCTTCGCTCTTCTTTTCGTTTATACAATTTGGATCCGAAGCACCCATAAACCTTTAGCTAGTAACCTGAATTTCGTAGCGACTCGCTATGCTTCCGGACTGTCAATGGTCGAGAAGTTGCGAAAAAAAAAGCCGACGCCTCTGTTGCTGCCCGCGTTATATTTTCATATTTCTTTCCCTTTGCCTAACCAGAAGTCCTCCATCGAGCGCTTACATTTCCATACCTGCGAAGCTTTGAGTGGACCTGCCAAAGCTTTGTACTGCATTATTTCAAAGAGTATCGGCGAACGCGAGATGGGCTAACTAGTGCCCTTAGAAATTGAGGGAGGGTTTATTCTGCTTAATTACGACAACGATGTGTAGAGAAAATGAAATGGTCATATTCCAATTTCTTTTTGCATGCCAACAATTTTGCATTTTGATTTAGGACTTACCCCTTCTGAATCACTTAGGGTAGGCATGGCCTACCTAGCGGTCGAGCAGTTACATGTATCTAAATCTCCGGTGTGCCAGCGTGCTGTTGGGAAGGTTCATCGACGCTGTCCCATGGAACAATCCCGTCAGTATGACGTAGTTCCTGGTCCAGGAGGTAGAGACCAAGACCAGGCTGCTTGGAGACTCGGACTACCTGCTGCAGGAGGTCTGCGAGATCTTTAACGTGCCTCGTTTCCTTGCGCATAAATCTGTTTTGAATGGCGTCTCTCAATGCAATGTCTCCTGATTTGTCTGCCAACGAGCAAAGCCGTTGTAGATCCTCTAACAGACTCTTCTCCACGAAGAGTGCTTCCTTACAGGGACCAACAGGCTCAACCGGGTTATCAGGCCACTCAAACTTGGTAGCTTCGATTGCTGTAGGCTTCGAGCGTCCTCCACGTGACACAAGGTATTTCTCTAGCCACTTGAAGTCAGCCAAGCACTCTGCCGCCGAGCGCTCCCAGACTCTGTATGCTGTTAGTATTGAAGGTATTCCACGACTTATCCTTGAATAATGACAGCAAGGTATGCTTACCGCGCGAATCCATGCAAGGAGATGTTGCTTCGGGAACAATCAGCAGCCAATTTGCGAAAGAAGAGCCAACTAGTCAGCTCCTGGTGAATATGGCCACGGACGGACTGATAAAGAGTCTGGTAAATTTCCGCAATTTTCCACAGATAGTACGGAGTACTCCTACCTCTTCAATTTCCACCGTGAAGGAAGCCGTGCGCACCAACTGATCAACATCATGACCGGAAACCTCTGCAATGATTTTCTTCGCTCCTTCGGCCGACATGTTGGTGGTTTTCGTTATTTCTAGGTAAAACTTTGAATAGTAAAGTTTGTAAGGAGAGAGTTTCCGAGGATATCAACTACTAGCTATATATGTTACTTTCTCAATGATTTGCGATCAACTTCGAGACGTATTTATGACGGCTTTGTTGTATCATGGTTAAAGGCAGTTGAAAGAGACATCATCCGTTTCACGTCAGTGTTAGTTCATATGTTTGTATGGCGGCGTGGGTTGAATCTAGTCGCGCCTATCCAATGACGCAGCGCTGACCACAGCCACCTTTTATTTAAGCGAATCGTATTGTTTTATATTCGACTTTTCTTTCTTTACCTTGAAGCAGGATAACTACCAGACATTTCTCTTCAGCAAGCAAACCTAACACAATGTCACAAATGGGTAGTGACGGGGCATTCCAGGTCCCCAAGTCAAAACAGGCTCAGAGCAAACCGGGGTAAGTTCTAGGCTCACTGAAAGTACAACCATGATAGATGCTAAGTTGACAACAGACTAGAGAAGTATATGACGCCGCCGAGTGAGACTACCAAACTTGAGTCAAGCGCCGGATTCGTTGAATACGTAGGCTCAAACAAGCTGAAAGATAAGAAGGCCTTAATTACCGGGGGCGAGTCAGTGGCCTATGTGATACACCTTTCTTTGGTCTATCTACTGACATTGAGAAGCTCAGGTATAGGTCGTTCTATAGCCGTATTGATGGCCAGGGAGGGTGCCGATATCACCATTGTCTACCTTCCACAGGAGCAGGAAGACGCAAACAAAACAAAGGAATTAGTCGAAAGCGCAGGACACAGTTGCCTGCTAATTTCAGGCGACTTGAGAAGCAATCAAACTTGCGAAAAAGCAGTTAAGGAGCATGTCGACCGGTATGTAAGCGAAGTCTGTCATCCAGCCCTAGGTCACTGACTCCCCACTCTTCCTTTTGCTTCAGGTTCAAGGGAATCAATATCCTTGTTAACAATGCCTCACAACAGTATATGCGTAAAGACTTTACGCAAACTGATCTCGGGCAGGTTGAGGATCTCTTCCGAACCAACATCCTACAAATGTTTGCTATCACCAAATATGCACTCCCTTACATGTCAAAGGGAGACTCGTAAGGCATTAATGCGACTTCATTTGATCACGGTTTTGGGCTAACTTCGGCACACAGTGTTATCAACAATACTTCTGTTGTCACGTTCCGTGGTTCGAGCAGTATGGTCGACTACGCTTCCACGAAAGGCGCAATCGTGGGCTTCACCCGATCCCTAGCGCTACAGCTAGCTCCGAAGGGTATTCGCGTGAATGCTGTTGCGTAAGTCCGCGGTCAGTTTTCCTGGCATGTCTCATATTCTAATGCATCCAACAGCCCCGGTGCTATTTATACACCAATTCAAGTCGATACAAGAGATCCCGACTCCATGAAGGGATGGGGTTCGAATTCACAGCTTGGCCGGCCTGGGCAGCCTAGCGAAGTGGCCCCTAGCTTCGTGTTCTTGGCTAGTAAAGATGCTTCTCTTTATTGTATGGACTTAAGCTACTTGCCCTCCTAGCTAAGGTCGAGTCGCTAATATCTAAGCAGCTGGCCAAACCCTACATTGCTACCCTCTGGGAGATTAAAGGGGAGAATTGTTGTGAATCGCAAATGGAAAGCTGGTATAATTTATGTCGGAAAAGCAAAATTGTTGGCTAAGCGAAAGCTTAAGAAACCATTGAGGCTTAATGTGAGTGTTAATGTGAGTGTTGATACAGGATATAGGAGTTGATATAGTGAAGGGCGGTGAAGGGTCAACGACAGCGCGGAGGTTTACCACCTCACCCATACTGTATTGATAGGCCTTTCTTGTCACTGTCACCACTACTTTCTTGCGCGCGACGTTACCCTAAAACAACAAGACCAAGTCTATTCGCGTGGTCTACGTCCTAGTATGCCAGACTAAAGCTCAATCTCAATACTTTGCATTTTTGGTCTTCATCGCTGCAGTCGGAGTAAGGCATCCATTTACATTTGTCGTAGGCATTGGCCTCTCACGGTGCCCCATTGTACCAAGCCCTCCAATGCTATAAAGTACTACAATGGTTTAATCTTCAAAGCAGCCAATCATTTTCTGAAGAGGTGAGGGTACATAGAAGCGGCCTTTTTGGTGATGTTGAAGATTCTATAACAGTGACGTAAGGTGACCAGAATTCGAATGACGGATTTGCCGATGCATTGTATTGATGGCTAATAGATACTGACTTTTGCTGCCAGTCCCAGGCGATCATTGGCAAAGCAACTAGCGGACCCACCTGTATTGCGTCAATAGCCTTCCTTCCCCGGAGCCTGGGACGTAAAGTGGACGTCAGACTGTTGATATCCACTAATGCAACATCAGTAGGCCCAAAAAGCTTTTAATGTAGGTATTTTCTATAGGTTGCAAAGGCCAAAATCCCTAAATACTGCACGAAACAAATCTCTTTTCTCTTCCCCATTTTCTACTTCAGTAAAAATTGGTGCCCCATTTATGAGACCTGAAGACATACGCATTAGATGTGACTTGGGTCGCTTGAACTTCAGGATTGGAGTCCAGTCACCTCACGAATCTTCCGTGACGCAATCTTCATCATTTCAACCTTTCCTGGGGTGCTTCAAATTCCATGTCTGATAAATTGACCCTCGTAGTGGTTGGGGATGGAGATGTGGGAAAATCGGCACTAGCTGTGCGGGTTTGTCATGTTTACCTCCTATCGCAGTCAAGATGATACTAACTAAGGTCCTACTTAGTTTTGCTTAGACAAATTTGCTGAGGGCTTGGAACCCACGCTAGATGATTCGTATCGCACGCGGATGGTGGTTGATAACCGTCCTTGCATTCTCGAGATAATGGACACCGCGGGTCAAGGAAAGTATGCAGCCATCCGTGAAAGCCATATCTACGAGGGGGAAGCTTTCATTATTGCATACAGCGTCACCTCGCGGGGGTCGTTCTCTCACGTACGAGCGTACTACAACCAGATCAAAGAGGTGAAACAAGATATGAGCATCAAAGATACTTTACAGCAGTCACCTTCTCAGCGTCCATGTCGTCCGCCCATTGTTCTGGTCGGTACTAAGAACGATTTACAAGCCCAGCGTGAAGTCTCCGCCAAGGAAGGTCGGATGCTAGCAAAGTCGCTAGACTGCTGGTTTTATGAAACATCTGCTAAGTATGACGCAGATGTAGAGAAGACGTTCCACGATGTTATCAGATGCTTTCGAGAACACAATCTCCCCAGCTCTTTAATCCCAGCGTCGAAGCGATCAAAGGGAAGCACAGGGAGATTTTGGGGAACAGAGCGACGGAAGGTATATAACGCATGTAGGTGCATTGTAATGTAAATAATACACCTGTGAGATTTAAACCGGTTGTTAGTATGTCGACTCCTTGCAAAGATACGGTGAGCCAATAGACAGGACGTGAGTCTATTCCAAAATCAATTCAATAGCTGAAGGTGTGAGTGTACCTTCGTAGTGGTTCGCGCACTCTAAAGTCTTATTGTCCGCTATCTCTGATCCCTTTGCCCTAGCGGCCGTGTTCCCCGCAATGGACAGAACGGCTACAGTTAAGTGTGGAAACTGGCAATTGAAAATAATGTATAACCCTCGTGCAACTTTAGTCAGGTATGTTTCCTACACCAGGCGTTGAGAAAAACATCTCATGTTCTCCACTGGCTTGTCCGCCCCTAGTGTGCCTCGTCAAGTAAATAATAAATCGTAGAGCAAATTTCTGAGGGTACAGGACGTATTTATAGGCTTCTCGGCTCCTACTGTCGCGTGTGCGGGTACCCGCGCGAACATCGTTGAAGCTTGGCCGTACACTAACTAAACATGATATAGTATCAGATCCAGTACGATCACCACCTACAGAGACCGCCCTCTACAGCAAGTCAGTGAGGGCAGCTTGCAGCAGTAGCCATCGTTCTACTTATTCAGCGCATCAAATCAAGGTTTGTCGATTTCTTCTGGCGTTATTTCTAGCTAAATGTTTTCAACCGTTTGTTTTGCATTTTGCACGTCAAAAGCGGATACATGTATCAGCTAAACTGTAGAGACACGGTCACCACAGTGGTATAGACCATGCAGGCAATCCCCATCGTAATTATCAACATATCTCCCCCTTTTGCCCACCAAGTATTCGCGATACCTTTCCAATGCAGATACGCCGGATAAACAAAAATCAAGGGAACACATGAAACGGATCCCACTAAGGCAACAAACTTATCCAAGTCCCTGGCGCCTAGGGCTGCAATCAAGCAACAGAGAACGACAATGCCTGTCCTGAAAATATTCTTTTTCCACTTCATGAGGAGGTCTCGATGACCAGATTTGCGGTAGAATAACCTTCCCTCCATGATCCGCAACGCAGGAAATAGCTGCACCGGGGTGCCCACAAGAACAGCTAGCGAGAAGAATAACCGAATAAAATTGACGAACTTATCCGACTGTGGGAAATTGCTGATGATATTGATCTTTGTGTGGCTGCCAAATGCCCCGTATGAGAGAATCCCAACGGTAGCGAAAAGGAAAGTAATAAGGGCCATGACAATGTAGAGGATGCGATCGAAATGGTCTGGTTGCGACATCGAAGATTGTATGGGGAGAATGAGGCCTATCCCCTCGAACATGAATATGGATGATCCGATCGTTAGGGTAAATGTCTTGGTGTCGAAAAGCTTGACTGTGGGCTCTAAGCCGTGGCGGGAAATTTCCGAAATATTGTAGTAGTATATGTAGCCCACGGCGATGAAAATGAAGACATCTGCAAGTAATGCCACTAATCCGAGTCGGGATATTTTGCGAATAAAGGCAAGAGGCACGAGAATCACTAACTGCAGAGCAATAATTGTGGAAATGGACGGTGTGCTAATCGTAGAAGCTGCCACCCCCTCCACAAATGAACGCAGGTTCTGCGCAGTAAAAGCAATGGCGGCACACACAAAACCAAGCTGCGTAATTGTAATTGAAACGAGAATAAGGGAGCGAAGATGCGAGCCGGAAATAGATTCTCCAATATCGCCGTAGCCACCGCCATGCTGTCGTCGACATTGAAGCAGCAAATGAAAAGAGATGGTTGTTATTATCGAGACTGTGACGAGAGCAATAGGTGAAAAGAGTATGCCACCGTTGCGGAACGCCTTCGGGAGGAAAATGATGCCGGTTCCTATGAAGGCCTTGAGGAGTGTGAAGAAAGTTTTCATGTCTGACGCATCCCCTTGGGAACTTTCACGACTGGCAAGCAATGGTCTTCTTTCCGGCTCCACTTCATCAAACGGTGTTCCAACACTTTCAGCATCTGCCTCGTCTTCCGACTCGACTAGGTCTTCACCGGCGAATCTGCCATATAAGTCTAAGAACTCCACGAAGCTATTCGGTACAGATTTGTTGGTGAAGCCACGCTTGTTTCGCCATAAGAACTGCCGGCGAAACGCTCCTGGCTCATTGCGTATCGTGATATCGAGATTATCATCCGTTTCTGGCCTGGGAGGGTGCGAGAATGTTGCTGCGCGCTGATCCAATCCGCCCCGTTTCGAGCGAGCTTCGATACGATAGAGGTCGCGATGTGTATCGCCTCCTTGCAATTTGAGAGAGGACTGTTGGCTAGGTCCTATGAATGCGGATCGTTGGTTCCCATCGTGATCTGCAGCTCCCTTCCCCCGCACGTCCTCATCATCTTCAATAATCCCATCATAAGCCCCGGTAAATCGGGGATGCAGATGCCTAGAAACAACCTCTGCCTCGCTGTCGTTGAGGTTTTCTAGGGCTGGAGTATCCGCCATTGTGTTCCCCGAGCTGATACCTTGTCGCTTAACACTCGTTGATCGATAGTGATTGAGCGTGGATAGCACGCAGACTTATTGTGGTGATGTTGGTGGAGAATCCTTGGTAACCACAGCCGGATTGCTCACAGTCATGTGAACAGGGCTAGTATGAGTTAACGTTATAACTGCACCGGTCTCGTTAGCGAAAGACATTATCGCAGTACGTAGAAATAGACGGTAAAATTACTTCATGTATGGAAGTTTGGGATTCCTGAGTTTGTACCTTGTCTTGTATAAACACGTCCCGGCACCGTTATATGTCGCTTGACTGATCAGACATCGTGAAATGTGGTGCCCAGCATTAAGATGGGATTCATAGCTCCTTTTCGTATTGTATTAGTAACATTTGTACGTCTTTTCTGTGTTAAAGATCCTTGTTTTGTCTATGGCGTACTAATGACGTCGGCATATTCGCAGAAAGAAGGTCAAGCTAATCTTTAGCGGCAGGTGATACACCAACTCTGAAGGCTTTTTGGCTGTAAGTGATTTCGCTAACCCCGAAAGAGTTTGCCCCATACTTATTTTCAATTGTTGAACCATTAATTTAAATGATTTCCATCTGGCATATCGAAAAGATTCATACATACATTCACCTCGAATGACTGAATCCTATCCTCGCCAAGAACGTAAGCAGTAGGAGAAAAATATTACTAAACTTGCATTGCCCTTTAAGGAGGCATTTGCATGCGATGAGAATGATCCAACCATGACGCAATATCGCCGGCCAAGAATAAGATGAGAGGCCATCGGCATCTAGAACCGCTGGCGGATGACAAATCCTGTTTACGGAAAATAGCCGCCCATTGGAGAGCATTGGAATGGAGCAACATGTATGATTGGCACTTTCCGCTGTGACAATACATAAGTTTGGCGGTTTATCTCGGTTTATCGCATACGAGATTTACCCGCATTGGCAGGGGGCTCACCACTTGATGGAACAGAATTGATTAAGACTCTAGGACCTACAAGGCGATCTCTTTGTAGTAGCAGTCGCGCGTATGTTTGAAAGATGTATTGAAGGTTCTTGGAAGATCAAGAAGATCATCTATGTTAGTCAATTCTACCGTCACCATTATATATTATTCTAGACAATGAAGTTAATTGAACAGGACAGAACCTCTAACGATGGCATGGTACCTAGAATCTTCTTGCGACACGAAGCGACTGTTCCGTTATTCTATCGTAGATGAATCAAACGGCATTTTTATGATACGCGTGCTTCTAATGAGCCGCCATTAACCTGCGCGATCTTCAACACGTCCTATTATCTTATTGGTATCGAGAATTCACAGTGCAAGTAATGATAAGTCAATGCCAAGTGATCCGATATACCAGGAGCCAAGCTACTTCCATATAGATAATTCCTGGCTTCTGGTTAGTCGGAGTCATCCTCGATCCTAGCAAGAATGGGTCATGACGTTGCGTCATTGAAACCTCCCTGCCAATTCTCTATCTTCACATGCTACGTAAGTTCCCTGCTTGCCTTCTAGATATCCGTTAATATGCTCGCCGATAGTACATAAAAGCCGATTCCGCCATGTATTTTAACCTGAACTTGTTAATCTTCCCGCGACGAAACTCTTCTGCCGATTTGCTACGATGCCCGAAGTAATTACTAAGAACGCCGAGGAATTCCGTGAAAGGAAGCTCAACTTCAAGACCGCTGAAGAGAACAATGAAACTGTGATAATTGCGAAGAATAGCTATATCACCAGTAGGCGGCTGTTGGCTCTGTCCCTCGCAAATGACATAGATAACCCAGGTGTTGCGCGAGCAAATGCAGCAGTGTCTGTGGAAAAGCCCGAGGGCGACCTCGAATGGGCGAGGAAAAATGACGGCTACGTATGGCTTTTGAAACTATGGAGTTCTTATTGGCGCCGTTTTGATGCTAACGAAATAAAGACACCTCTTCAACAACACATTCTTTTCTGGGATCGCGATGGCGATGGAATGATTTTCCCTTGGGATACATACAACGGGTTTCGAGAACTGGGTTTTAATATTGTCTTCTCGATCCTTGCGACCTTTATCATCAACGTCAACTTTTCGTACCCCACACGCTTGGCATACTCGTGGTTCCCCGATCCATATTTCCGTGTGTATTTGACGAGCATCCATAAAGCGAAGGTTTGTTTGTTCTTAAGATATCGCTATACATTGACGGCGATGATAAAGCTGATTTTCCTCTTAGCATGGCTCGGACAGCGGCACATACGATCCAGAAGGCCGCTTTATACCGCAATTGTTTGAGAACTTGTTCTCAAAATGGGATAAGGATGGCGATGGCGCCTTAACTCTTCGAGAGCTATTTCAGCTAATGCACGGCCATCGATGTGCTGCTGATCCTTTTGGGGTACGCTTTATCCTTCGATCCCGGTAGCAAATTTTCGCTTTGGTTTGCTTTAGTGCTGATCATTGCGCAGTGGAGCGCGGCCTTGTTTGAATGGGGGACAACTTGGCTCCTAATTCAGAAGGACAGCAAAGTCTACAAAGAGGATTTACGGGCAGTATATGATGTATGACAGCCAATCATCACTGGCGATGCGTAATGACAGGGCTAATATCTGCTAGGGGTCATTATTCTGGCGAATTCGCGAAGCAAGACAGACTCCAACTGGCTGGGCGCAGGGCTGGGGTTTAGGAGGTGATGGGTTTATCGGAGGGACGAAAATATTTTAGTAGTCAAAGTGGTAGATGACAGTGGATTTTGTCATGACGGGGCTGTCAACCAAAATGACTGCTAGGCCACAAAAAGTGTGAACACACAGATTGGGCTTCTAACAGTACATTTCAGTATCTTTTTATATCGTCAGGGGCTAGTAGCCTGATTAGTCAGGACACGAGTGTAACGTCGCATTCGATAATCAGAGGAACTATGTTGCTCTTTCAGAAACCCTTGAATGGTCCCGTCTTTCTACCCCGTGTAATTCATACTTTGCGTACAAAGGCATGCCGACTGCGGATTAATAGAGCGAGGAGCGAGTAAGACTAGTCCGTATGACTGAAGATCAAACTTGAAAGTTCACTTTGCCCAACTTTGTACATTTATTGACATTAAATACTGCATTCTAGCGATAAACCCCGTCCACAGATCGAGGCGTCTTGGTCGGCAATCAGTAACCTGTCCTACCTGCGTATGCATTTTCATTCCGCTAACCTAACCTTTTCACTTCTCAGATGACTGGCGTAACCACGTCCTTGATTCAGCGTTGGATCACATAGCCAGGGCCCACCACCAGAGTTTCAGAAAGTAACATACTCGCATATATTCACATAAGGTACAATGAGGCATTGACTTATATAGCATAAGGTTCAATTACGATAGGCTCTCCCCCAAATGGTCCCCTTCAGCCTAGCTAACAAAGCAATCAAAAGGTCTACTGATGATCCTCAGGCCCCATAGGCTTCTGGCTAGCCTTCTCCACGTTCTTTCTTTTAGCCTCTGCTGGCTTGCTAGGATCATTCTTGATTTGTGCATCGGATGCCGTTTGTTCCTCGCCTTCGTGAGATTCGCTGCCTAGTTCCGTCTTGTTCGAAGGGGAAATTGGAGACTGAGTAGAGCGTGTATCGGGCGTGTCGGAATGCCGGCCTTCCAAGCCTCGAGATTTATTGATGGCTTGAGATTCTGGCGAGCTGGCAACGGGGTTGCTCACTTTGGATGATTGTGAGGCGGAGCTGGCATAGAATCTCGCCAACGGGGTGTTACCTGGATATTCTGTTAGCCAAAGTCTTTTTCAAGAAGCAAATATCTTACACGACGTGTTTCGGAATGTAATGCGCGGTTTCGCACGGACGAGACGGATTGCGTTGATGGCCATATTGAATATATGACTTCAATTAGTCACGAAGGCCGTTTGATAGTAAATGCTTTTGACGTGGGAAACGATGCTTCTGTTATTTTTTGACTCTTATAAAAACATTCCATTCGGTAGTCGCTACTTATTCAGTATCGAACCAGTGTAGGGTGACGTCAATACCAAGCTCGATCTCTATCTTATGATGTAAGAACTCATTCATTCTCACAATCCAGCTTAAACACCCCATTAAAGAACTAAGAGTGGTCCAATTCACGAGTAATTGCGGAGAAATTTGTCGAAATGGGGTATTCTTTCATTACCACTTTCAACCACCAATAAGATAAGCCGCCCGACAATGAAGTGAGACGAATTTGATACTTGAGGGTCTTGAGAGATTCTGCAATTGAATTTCTCGTTGGCTCTGTAGCTGACCATAATGGCTGATGTCACACACAATTGCCACCGCACGACTGCAAGGGCCACGTAATTGTTACCTCCGGAGTCCTTTTCCGCCACTTTCTCTACTTCAGTACTAACTATTCGGTACCATGATGGTAATAATCATTCACTTTATTTTAACAAGTCTTCTCATACCACTTTTGTCTCATCGCTTCTATTGCGACTGGAATTTGCTTATAGCATGTCTAATCTCAATCGCCTCTTGCCTGGGACTGGCCCGTCGCTGGCTCAATTCACGCGTAAGGTTTAATAAATGTTCAAACTTTCGTCTATTATAACATGTAATGTTAGATTTACTTTAGAAAGTCATGAATGACAATGCGTTAATATTAAATCAGGCTGGTAATCAAGTCTGGAGCATCACGTTGAACATGTTGTATTTGAAGTTCGGTGCTGTTATCTGGAAACAAGCTGAAGAGAGAAGATGATGTCACAATGAAACCTCAACAGAGCTTGGGGCTTATATTTAACTCAGGCGTATTGGACTCGACGTTTCTTTGTTCCCTGTTTCACACTTCTCTCTGCTGCCTCAAATTGTCTTCGATCATGAACTTCGTTCGCCAACCGCTTTTGCGCCCCGCAATGCAACGGCCTTTTTGTATCAGAAGGGTTAGAATGCCGTCACCTCTGCCAAAGGATGCTCGGAGATCTCTCGCAACCACTAAACCGAGTGAACAACAAGGCGATAGCTCCAAATGGTGAGTTTCCAAATATCTCATCATCGGACAATTTTCCAACGCTAATACGCTCATCAGGATAATGGTCTCTATTGCTTTGGGTGTCCCTCTATCAATCTACCTATGGCGGAAAGGCGATACGAAGAAGCCGAACAATGATGCCGTTGGCGAGCATCGTGGGGCAAACCAAGAGTATACACAAAACGCGGAGGGCAACCAGAGTGTTGAGCGACAACCTTCCGATACCAATTCCTCTGCTCATGATGAGGTTCGTTAACCCCATTTTTGTTCTCTCCGCCTCTATATCACTTCAGCATCAATGCAAACTACTCTCGCCATTCAATTATGCAGGCTGTTTAGCGACCGGGCCTCTAACTTTTGCATAGCCTCGAGCCATGGGTCCTGCTAAAGGACCGACAAGCATGTCATTCAAGCAACAGGGCCTTTCTAATACCGATACTATGAACCCGTACATCAATGAGCCCGGCAAGAGTCAGAAGGGGGAGGGGGAGACGGAGACCGCAAAGGTAAAGGGCACTGTTAAGCCTGACCGACCGCAAGCGTGAGAGATGACGTCAGATATATCCATGTCCATCCCTGTAATTTTAACCCACGCTAGTACTATCTATTAGGGAGTGATAAATATATGTCTCTACCTTATCCACCTATGAAGATAAGACTTGAGCACAGTAACGAATTTACAGACTGAGCCCCATCGTACCCTGCGACGCCAGAAAGAAAAGCGCTGATTCTCTGGGCGGCGGAGGGCTATATGAGATAGCACTTTTATTTCTACGTGAGAACCCAACTAATCTTGAGACTCAGCATTGTCCATGCAAACTTCCTCAAACTGAGCCACGTGAATGAAGTGAGTGTAGGTCGGATTGAACATATATGAAGCCCTGACGAGGCGTGGATACCCTATCCAATTCCAATACATCACGATTCTGCTCCATCCCAATTTCAAGTTTTCTAACTGTCGAGAAAACATAAGGCTTACATCTCTAGCGTCCAGCTCTGTAGCCATCAGAATGGCTCATTTGCGTTCAACCCCCTTTTGGTCGATTATCGGACTCCACATTTTGTACTGAGTGCCTAACATGCAGGTGTGAGCCGTGCAGGCCCTGCTGCGATGACCAGTAGATCGATGTACAACCAAGTTTCTTTCTACTTAGTTCTATTGACAGAGAATGTAGAAGGCCTATTGATCATCCACAGGCCCCATGGATTCCTGCCTCAATAATAGTCCACTTGCGTACATAAGTAGAGCCGGGGCAGAAACTACCAACCATACCTTCTGCACGGTCAATCTCTGAATTTTCTAAGCCGTATACATTAATATATAATCGGGTTCTCGAAATACGAATCTTGTATCTTCTCTTTAGAGTACACCGTCGTATTGCGGGAACGGGCATTCCGACGGCCTTCCACTGAATAAATATCCCACTTGAATCTAGAAGCCTTATTTAGACAATAGTGAATTGGACCATAGATTTGATTGACCTGCTAAGATCGGTCCTTAGTTAGGGCATTTTACTTTGTCTGCAGAAAGAACTAGCCTTAAGTTTCCACTTTGATTTCTCGGTAGCTGTTTTAGCCCAGGAACAGATTAAGCGAAACTCCAAGGCTGAAATGAACTAAGTCAGAACTTCATAGATCTACAGTAGATATTTCGGCTCACACAGTTTCCCACTGAGTATGTATTTGCTTCACTCATAACAAATTGCCTCCGTATCTGATTGCTTCCTCCTGTGGGTAGGATTACGTATAAGCCTAGTAATATTCTATCTACGATTGTCTCACTTCAATTGAACCTGGCGATGCCTGCTTACGCTTTCTGCAAAACAAATCTTTTATTCACGTACCAATAGGACGTGTCTCCTGACCCATTCTAAAGCGCGGAAGCCAGGAAAGAGCCTTCTCTCCACTCGTCTCACCCATCACAGTCCTATCATTGGCAGCGAGTGACATGCGATTCCTTATATCTCTATTTAGTGAAGCATCTTTGTCGGAATCTGCGCCAAAAGTACGTCAATATCCATCAAGCTGCCTCAGCCTAGTATCAGTTACTGTCCTGTTAGCGGGTTGGGTCACAAACTCCAAATGAGTTGTTTAGAAGTTGATCGATAACATTTCAGGCGACACAGACTCATGCGCTACTATCGCCCCCACTTGCCTTGGATGTAGTACCTACTACTAGGTGTTTCCGTGAGCGGACTGTGTTGTACGGTAGGAGAAACGGCATACAAAAAAATTAATGACACCTGGATTGGGCAATGAAAGCAACTGTGGGGCGGAAGCAGGACAAGCATATTTAAAATTTCGCATTGGCTTTCGCAGTCTTATAGATTGAGTCGGTTCCACGCCAGCGAGACCTCTAGGCTCTCTCGTACCTGTCTGATGTAAGCGAATAAACTTTGCAGAGCTTAACTGCGCTAAACATAGTAGGCGACTTTGTGGAAGTGGGCCCCGACATCAGCTTCATATATGGATCAAATTTCAAAATGTGCACTAGTTGTTTATAGACATTGTTGCTTGGCGAGCCTTGTATGGGTACCCTTTTGGGTTCCCGATCGCGTACTCTACTGCCTCGTCTGCATTAGGACCTGAGCCGATCCACAGTTTGATTCTTGGCGATGGAGGGTTCCGGGCGGGTTGTGGCGAATCTACTACTAAGTGATCTCACCCATCGATGCAAGGAGCGGAGCGCCGAAATGTACGTCAAACGTCAAACTGGGTTCCGAACAATGGAATAGAAAGGTGTCAGAAAAGGTATCAAGGAAATGAACCCAAGTATACGTAGTTTCTTGCCAAGATTGCAGTTAACCTGTATATATCCTGCTAATATCGTCATCTAAAGGGGCCTAAGATCTATCAGTGAACATCAGCGGGCTTCAATTGGCGTTCCTTGATTTTTTTCGGATTGGTTCACTGAATCCAAAAGATATGCTGGAAACGAACCAAGTTACTTGATCTTTCCTCTATGACATATGCCAAGCTTTACAACATACTAGCTCCAAAGCAGGCTTGGAGTTCTACATTGCACTGAATACAAATTCCCATCGGCGTCCGGGCAACGAAGAACATCATTTAAGTTACGCTAATATTTGACTGAGAGTGAAAACAATGGCGGCCCATACTCAAAACCAGCGGAAGCTCATAATTGCCTCAAACCGCCTCCCACTTTCCGTCAAGCCCAAGGACGGCAGTTACGAGGCGACTACATCGAGCGGAGGCTTGGTGACTGCCTTAAAGGGTTTGAGTTATTCTGACTACCTGTGGCTAGGCTGGCCAGGGGTCGAAATCGATGAACGGGACAGAGGTAGTGTTGATGAAGCCTTGGCCAAAGAAAATGCCGCTGCAGTATACCTGGAGGAGAATTTGGCTCAGAATCATTACAATAGATTTTCCAGTAAGTGGCCTATATTTTCAGTTCTATTTACTTCGTTGCTGACCAGGTATAATCAGATGGTGTTCTGTGGCCCACGCTACATTATCAGTCGGAAGTTTCCTTTGACAACGAGACGTGGGACTCGTACCAGCGTGTCAATCAGATCTTCGCTGATCGGATCAGTGAGGAGGCGGCGGATGGTGACTTAATTTGGGTGCACGATTATCACTTACTCCTGGTACCACGATTACTGCGTGATTGTCTACGCGCGCAAAACAAAAGGTGTCCTATAGGCTTTTCTCTTCACACTCCCTTCCCAGCAGATGATTTCTGGAGAGGCCTTCCTGTTCAAAAACAGTTGCTTGATGGTGTCCTTGGTAGCGACATCATCGGCTTCCATACGGACGAGTACAAGGCGAACTTTGCTGGCGCTTGCGGCTCTCACCTGTAAGACCCAGAAAGTGACATTCACATGGCAAGTGGCTAACTTTATCAGTGGAGCGGAAGTTGAAGGCGGCAATATCCACTACAACGGTCGTACTATTCACTTTGATAAATACGTCGTGGGGATTGACTGTCAGAGATTCGCTGATACAATCGAGGAACCTGAGGTTCAGACTAGAATCCAAGAGCTCGAGGCGCAATATAAGGATAAAACGATCATAATCGGCGTGGACCGCATGGACTATACAAAGGGATTGCCTGAAAAAATGGAAGGCTTCCGAGTCTTTCTCGATGAACACCCCGAATTGAGCGAAAAGGTTGTGTTAATTCAGATCGCCATTCCGAGTCGTGAAGATGTCAAGAAGTACCAGGACCTAGAGGCAGAAGTGAGCAAGCTTGTGGGCCAAATCACTGGCAAGTATGGTAAGTGGCTCCGGAAATCGATCCGGCTCCATACCCCGCAAGTTCTGGGCTTGGTATCTGGCAAATCTATGGATCTCATGCTAACAGTAATCAGCTACACCGCAATCGACACCATTGCTTTACATCCACCGCTCAGTCTCCTTTGCGGAGCTTACAGCTCTGTACTCAGTGTCTGATGTCTGTCTCCTCACTTCACGCCGAGACGGGATGAACCTTGTTGCTTCCGAGTACGTCGCTTGCCAAGAGGCCCGACACGGCGTATTGGTACTCTCTGAATTTACCGGTGCAGCAGCTTTCATGAAACACGGCAGTCTGTTGTTCAATCCTTCTAATGCAGATGGCCTCTCGAAGGCACTTTACGATGCTGTTACAATGGAGAAGAAAGACAGGAAGAAAATGTATGAAGAGTTGCGGAGTTTCGTCACCACCAACACCAGGTTAGTTTTTTCCCTTTTTATTTCTCCTTCTTTTCACGCTTCCGTCTACCCAACTTCCTCATCTCCCACCAGAAGTCCGTCAGGTCTAGTAATTAGCAAAGCTAACAACCATTTCCTTCAGTGCGAAATGGACCGAGGCGTTCCTTGGAGATTTGATGAGACTGCGTGAATAGAGAAGTAGATAGCTTTTAGAGTAGTTTCAATGGTCGTTTGACATGGAAAGTGGCGCGGTCGGAATGTAGCACTGCTTCATTGGTATATTCAACACTCGCATGACAGTCAAGTTAACGTCCAGATTCATGAGCATTCTGGCGAGGATGTGGGCACTATCGGTAGACACCAGTGCAGTGTAGTCCCGTATTGAGAGTAGACCCCGTAGTAAAGCTCTATCGGGACCACAGCGCCGAGCGCAAACTATCTAACGATATACCTATATCAAGGAAAAAAACAAAAAGCTAGATAGATAGATCACCGATAGAGAGTTAGGTGCAAACGTAGTTGGACGAAGTCGCGGATACAATCCGATAAAAGGCAGGCAATCCGATCATCGGCCTTAGAAGCGGAAGTGGTCGATAAAACCATAGAAAATCATATAACCGACAAGGACGTGCACGCCGATTTAGAATTTCTTCGGCGAGTCAAGGGAGTGTTTTTAGATTCCGTGGTAAGGAGCAAGAGGATCCGGATTTATATCCTATTAGTTTACCTCGCGGAACAAACTCTATGATTAAAATTGCGAATATAGACAAGCAACAAATTAAGAGCGTATCCGTGAATTTAGCTTCCGAGACCTCGATCCGATCGTTAAAAGAGACCTACATACAATCGGGTTATCTTTGAACCCCTATCAAACCATGACGTTCGCTTAAAACACCAAAGGTTTCTATTAGAACTTTGTAGGGCTCTCCACTTCCTACAGTGCAGTCATTCAAAGCTGGTTCGTACTGCGATGAAAGAGTATCTTTACATGTTATACTTATCTACTCCCGGTTACATACGTTTATGTACAGTTCAGCGAAGGTGGAAAGGTGCTCCCGAGCTACCATTGTGCAATCTACTTAATAGATCGCACCTTGCTCGATCTCGAAGAAAAGCTTGCGGGAAAGGCACAGACTGATCTAAAACTACCACTCGTGGGAAAATAGCGAAGGCTTGGAGGTTGTGGTTGATGACAATATGGTCTAACATCTCCCAGAGGGGCAAATTATGACTACGGATATATATGATATTCCGCGCAAAGGGTATAATTGGCTTCCTCGGGCTCCAACCCATCTGTGGTGGGAGTAAAGTTTGGGTAAAGGCTTGGCAGCGGGGTCGAGGAAGATAGTCGAAGAGTATACTGGTCAAGGCAATTTCGAGAATGACTATACACTGTCTCCTACCTTTTTTGTATATTAATCCTAGCTATCAGACTCGTATGCAATATAAAGAATGGAGCACGGAGATCTTCCAAACTCCTTGGGTCAGTCACTGCATCTGCCTGCCTCTGTAGAATATCGTATTAGACAGTATTGCTCGCTTGTCGACGATCTTATTTCCTCTACTTGGCAAGCTAAACCGAATATAAAACTCCTAAGAATCGATAGTTCATCCGGGAGGTGGCGATCAGTAGTGTGACCTCCACTAAGTTAGTACTTTTATCGTAAAGCTGAGTGTAGATCAATACTCCTTGCTTCATGTGCTGCAATATTTCGATCCACTAGCAACCAGCCTCACACCTATCACATGAACACAATGCAGAATCATGGGCAGCCAAGCAGTGTTTTAAAGGTATGAATTAGCTTTGTACCATTGCCATTGTGCAGGACCTTCCTTTTTCCTCAAGATGAACACCCATCCCAAGTATCCCACCCCTTGTAGAGGTACATTTAAAAACCCAGTACTATTTCCTGCAACTCCCTCTTTTCTCCCCCATATCCTCTCTACACTTACCGAAAGAACATTAATACTATCTTTACTTACAGTGAAAATGCGACCAATTCAATTTATTTACGCCTTTCTCCTAGCCACCGTGATCGCACTCCCAACTGAGCTCCCATGGGATGATGACCGAATCCAACTACTGAAAGAGCGTCAGGTAAGAAAAGTGCCACCATTTTGAGGGCGAGGGGCTGACATGAAGTGACTGGCAGCCTCTTCTTTGTTGTCTTCCTGATGGTTGTGTAAGTGATGGCTTCCCTCACTGACGAACGATAACTATGTGGGCAAAGGCTGATAGAATGCAACTGGCAGCCTAAATGTTGGTGTGATAAATGGTGTTAAATGCGAACAATCTAGGGACGGTCCTTCCTTGGACATTGTTAGTTGATCAATGCGAACTGCGATTTGAAAGATCTTTTCAATTGCTACCATCTGTGGATAGAGGGAGCTTTTGGTCTAGCCTTGGTGTGGGTTTCCTCCTATGGTTTCTAGGTTTCCATACATCTTTTTGTGAATGCAAAGGCACCATTTTTGTCGACATGGACATATCCACAGATAGATATAGTAGTATGTTAAGGAATCAGCCTCTTTCGCCCCCTAATGACTGTAAAATACTGCTGCTGTTGCCGGGCCGGAAGGGATTGTGGGAGAAACTTGACTGCCGAACAAACGCATGCTCTTGTGTATGTCAGTGGTGGAACGCTCTCTACACTTTGCCAGTTTGGCTATTTGTGATGTAGCCAGTCTCTCCTTGCGAACTGCTTATCATGTGCGCAACCATCTTATGCTGCATCGACCATTTGAGCCCAAGGTTGATAATCAACTGTCCTTGGTGGACTTACTGATTCTCACTGTATTAGATGCCCATCTCTATCAAGACAGTCCGTGCGTTCACCAGAGGCATACCCTGGGCTAAAGTGTTCAAAAAAGCCGAAAACACAACCGCGGGCCAGCGCCTCTACCCTTCATACAGCCATGATAAAAAGAAAGATTTCCAAATTGACAATGGTGCAACAATCAGTGGGATCAACAGAAAATCATTCTTCAAGCAAACAAGGATGCCGAAAAGCGGAAGTGAAAAACCCCGCTCGAAAGGACATCGAAAGGATCCTGGCAAAATGCATTATCGACCCTAACAAGGTAGATGCAGAAATGGCCAATTTAGACTTAGAGGAGCCATTCAGGGGCCAATAATTGATGGATACAAAAGTCACGAATGGGTCAGAAGGGTTTTCAAGCATCAAAAACTTCTATGTTCAGGCCCGCATATCGAAAATGGCCTCTGGCACTCTCTTCTTTCGCACCAACCACATTAATATACCATTCAAGAAAAGTGTCAAATCCTCGCTCCGGGTCTTTCTCGTAGTAGTCCCAGTTACGCTCAATGAACCCCTTGAGCTTAGCAAAAAACTCTTCAATTGGGTTTAGGTCCGGCGAATATGGTGGCAAATAGACTAGCTTCACCCCGGCGTCCGCGTACATTTGTTCAAGTCCTTCCGATCGGTGAAATGATGCGTTGTCTATGACTAGGGCAAACTTAGGCTCTAGCCATCGTCCGCAATGTTAGAGCAGTTAAGCTATAAAGCGTTCAAATACGGTGGCATCCGTAGAACCACGGAAGACACGCGACAGAACGATCCTATCTTGTGCGTACGCAGGTAATATCTGGTATCTCTAATCACGATGGAACTGCGTTACTTGCAAAGGGGATCTGCCACGTGGTGCCCAGCCTGTCCGTCTGAACCTAACACGTTTATCACATCCAGATTTATCAACATAGACTAGGTGGTACGATTTGAAATCTAAGAGATTATACAGATAATAGTCTCGCAAATCGGCATTTTGTTCTCTAGCACGCCTCCGTGCAGTCTTTTTAGACCAACCTTTTGCGACAAGGGCTCTTCTGATGCTGGAGGTTGTAACCATGGCCTTAAACTCATCCTATAGGAATACAACCATCTCCTCGAGGTAGAGGCCGGGTTTCTCATATAGGTGATCACAGAGAGCTTCGATCATTAGGGGTATCACAGTTCGTTTTCGTCCTACTCGGGTTTGTGGTGCGTATAAGCTTCCAAATTGTCGCATGTTGTTACAGATACTTATGATAGTCTGCTTGCTACATTCAGCCTCTTCCGCTATTTCAGACGTGGTGAAAGATTCGCTCTCTATCATATCACGGATAAGAACAAGCTTTGAAGGCGAGAGTCTTGGAGCCATGTCGCCTAAGCTAATAATGGTAAGCAGGGAGCGTTTGTGCAGGAAGTTGCAGCTTGTCATGAAAGAAAGAGAGGGGAGAGCAGGTACCGTGTGTCTGCTAATTTCGTGTAAAATACACCATCTATGGTACTGAACACGTATTGTAAATTACATGGACTATTGTAGAAAGCAGTCCAGATCAAAGTGCTTAAAATAACACCCAATCAGAACTCGCATAATTAGGACTTATTTTCCGGGAATCAAGTCCAAAGAGTGCGAGGTCAAACTGAATTCGAAAACTACTGTACGGGCACTTCTGCTTGAATGTACACTGGTCATTGGTAGGGACACACCACCTTGCCGCCGTTGGCCGCCCCGCAGCCCATCATATGGCTCGGGCTGTTGATAGGAGCCGTTCGAGTTGTGGTTTATGACCTGATCTCCTCACAGAGCCTCTCTTCATGACATTCTGGTTATGCTTGACCTCCTGTAGCTTGTTTTGTGTGGATTGAACGAGACGGTGGCTGATGTCTTTTAGGGTTGTCGATGAGCTGGCGGACCTCCTTGGTCAGTCGTCCAACGTAACGGTCCAGCGGTCTAGTGGTTTAAACGTGTTGAAAACGTGTACCCGTCAAACCGGCGAGGATGTCTTATTTTAGGGGGAACTATCGACAGCGCAAAGCCCTTAGAGAAAGAGATTGATCATTCGCTCGGTGTTTGTGGGAGGGGCCCTCAGCAGATCCCGCTGGATCTATCCATCGGTTCAGGTTATTTCCCACTCGGTACACAACACGATAATTTTATATCGCAATACTATCGACCACATCGTTGTCCTCTTGCTGTGCTTCGCTGTACGGTATTCACTGCTGACGATAATTGGGTCATTGCTATAATACCGTAATTCTTCGTAGAAACTGATGGAATCTTCCGTGTAAAGAGACACATCTAACCATCTCGTAAGATTCTCTTCTACTCCCTACATACGTCTTAACTCTCCTCGCCATAGGTAGCCTTGCCGACTCCCCCCGTTTCTCTTAAGCATCATTAAGGCCGAACC